AAATGGTCAAGCGGAAGTCATAAACAGAGCTATCCTCCGCGGACTGAAGGCATGGCTAGATCGAGCTAAGGGGCTATGGGCAGACGAGCTACCCAATGTTCTATGGGCTTATCGGACCACTATGAAGACCGCCACAGGAGAAACCCCCTTCAACCTCACCTACGGTGTTGAAGCAGTCATCCCAGCTGAGATCGAGGTTCCCTCACTGCAACAAGAAGAGTACGATGACAAGGCGAATGAAGATGAGCTACGCACTAAGCTCGACCTCCTTGACGAAGTACAGGACCTCGCATATATTAGGACCGCGGCCTACCAGCAAAGAGTAGCTCGGTACTATAACGCCAGGGTCAAGAAGCGGAACCTCCGCGTCAGCGACTTGGTCCTTCGCGAAGTTATGGTGCCTGAGGCCGGTGTTGGTAAGCTCGGGCCAAATTGGGAAGGACCCTACCAAGTAAAGCGAGTGCTCAGGGAAGGAACATACGAGTTCGAAACCCTAGAAGGGAAACAAGTACCTCGGGCATGGAATATTGTCAACTTAAGGCAATACTACCTATAACTACTGAGTAGACCACGAGTCACTCTCAGAGCCTAAGGGCCAAAATGCCGAGCTAACGCCGAGCTAACTAAGACCTCGGCACTGCGAAAGACCTAACTATTTCATTGGCAATGGCTAAGTATTAATACCAAAGGCATAGGCAGCTCGGGCATGAGCCCTATGAAGCGTAGATTGCCTTGGTATACTAGTTGAACTCAATAAGGAACAGCTCGGGGTAACAACTACCGAAAGATCCTACTCCATACATGTAGCTCTAACAACTCGAGTGATAAAATCGCTTCGGTAGAAAGTAAAAAGCACACAATACTTAGCAGAAAAAGATAAGACATTTCATTACTAATTTCTATAAACAAAAAACCGGGCTTAATAGCTTGAGAAAAGTTTAACAAAAAACAAATAAAAAGTGGGGCCCAACCGCCCGAGAGAGTTCATAAAAAAAAGAGATATTTAAAACCGGGTTCTAACACCTGGGAACCACCAAAATCCATTCAGAAAAAAAAAAAAAAAAACAAAAGAGAGCAACTGGCCTCAGGGATCCACCGCCTCCACATCCTCGACCTACTGGCGAAGAAGCTCCCTCTCTGCCGCCACCCTCGACAACTCCTCCCGGTAGCTTGCTCTCTCCTCAGATAGCCGGGCGATCTGTGCCTCCTGGTCCTGGACGAGCAGTTCTTGGGCCTCGCTCCCCTTTTGAGCCTGACGGACTTCACCCCGGGCCCGGTCGAGCTCGCCCTGGAGCTTCTGCACGATTGACCTCTGAGCGAGAGCATCGCTGGAGTGAATGTTGGTCTGGAGGGTCATGGCGTGGATGGCGGAGTTCACCTGCCAACAAAAGGCCAAGGTCAAAAAAAAAAAGAGAAGAAAGAAGAAGAAGAAGGAAAAAGAAGAAAAAAGTAGTCACTTACCACCATGCAGTGAGCGAAGGCTAGCTTGGCGAGCTACTTGGTGTCCATCCCTCCCCAACTGGCGACCTCCTTGTGGGAGACCGCCTTTCGGCTCATTCGTGAAGCCACAGTGAAGTCAGTGACGCTTTCCCACCCCCCGGTGGGAAACCGCGGGAAAGCGAAGGGGTGGGACTGCTCAGGCGGAGGGTGCTACCCTTGCACCGGGAGCTCGGGCTCTTCTGCGCCACCTTCCGTGGCTACTCCCTCGAACGGGACCGGTGGGACCTCAAGCGGTGGAGAAACGAAGGCTAGATCGGCAGCCTCGAACTCGGCGCTCCCGGAAGTGGAAGCTCGGTCAGGGCGTGACCTCTTCGCCCTGTGTTTCTGGTTGCTGGACAGAAGGCGGCGTGCGTCTACACCAGACATGATGGGTGCCAAAAACCACAAGGCATTAGTCCAGTTAAAAAAAATTACAAGGCACTACGCGACCTAAAAGGCAACCTACCAGGGCTCAGGTCAGCCTGCGCGAACTTGTCCTCAGTCAAGTAGTCCAACCAATGGAAGCCAACTACTGCACAGGATTGCAGCGTTTCCCGAACTTTGGGATCCAAGTCAACACCCGAATCCTGGATGGCGGCCCTCCAATGAGTTGGGAAGGGCCACCCTTCGGGGTTGCGAACTACAAAATAGTCCCGCTTCCAGGTCGGGATCCTATTCAGTAGCTCGTGCAGGAGCTTGAAGCCAGGACAGGGAGAAAAATAATAGGAACGCCTTTTTGGAGGCGCTCCGGGGGAAGCATTCTTGATGGAGAGGATGGTGGAGAAAATGTCGAGGTTAAGGGGAAGACAGTATTCATAAAATAAAGAGATAGTCCCAACTACATTTCGGATTGAGTTGGGGTGAAGCTGGTCAATAGTAACATTGAAGTGGTTCAAAACCTCCACTATCAGAGGATGTAGAGGAAGACGAAGGCCAGCGATGAGCTATTCCTGGAAGATCACTATCTCGTCGGGACCATGCTCCCAAGGATAGTCACCGGAAGGGAGACTATAGACGAGGTCTCTGGGAAGGTTAAATTGAAGAACCAAGGTCCTAAGTCTCTCCATCGACATGGAGGAAGGACCGAAGCTGTCCGGCTCCCTACCCCAAGAGGTGGAAGCTGTCTCGCCAGAGGCCTCACGAGCCTCCGGGGCCTACCCCCAATCTCCCCTTGAGCTCGAGGGGGCATCATCTTGGTCACCGCCCCGGGGAAAGTTATTGTACGAGTACCCAGACATACTGACAAAGTGATAAGACTCACTAGGGAAAGCTGAACTAGAAAGTTGGTGTGAACAGAAGAAGAGCTCGAGCAGGTAGGTGAAGGCATGACTTCAGAATCCAAAGGCAAGGCAAATTGGCATGAAGGAAATGAGGCTTAGGACCCTCCTATTTGTAGCCACTATGCCCACAAAACCAACAACCCAGATTAAGGCAAATCTAACGGTTCGCAGTCAAGCTGACCGCACGTCTCCTGAAATCGAAATGTGACTAGCTGCATGTCTTCCATGATTAAGATAATGCCACCTGCACGACTTCCGGAGGTGAGAGCCGTTTTGGCGCACTTTTTGGCATTCGAAAAGTCCTGACATCCGTGTGTGTATTTAATGCGATTGGTCAATCAAGTTTGAATTTCAGGTCAAATCCACCTGTCACACTCTATGAACTCATCGCGCTAGAGTAGAATCCTTAGCTCGAGGAGTGGGGGCAATTGATGGAGGGTGATTTGACCGAACTCCTGAGAAGGTGACACATGGACATGACTCAGCATAAGCAACAGTCCAGCATAACAGCCTGGCTGCGACTAAGTAATGAGCTCGCAGGACAGCTCGCTACAGCGCGAGCTCGAGAACCCCAATATGTTGAAAGGGAATACTCCAAGACAAGTCTATCCCAGCTCGCTCCAATACTTAGGCAAGAAGACTGCCCCAAAGGCAACCTCAGGCGGAATCACCTCGGGACACATCCAGGAGCTCCCTACAGGGCAGCTCGCTATGGGATAGCTCGCTACCAAGCAGCTCGCTGTTAAGCGATACGGATTTCTCAGGAAGCTTCTTATCTGACAAGACCGTACCCGTCAGACTGCATCATGTCTCCTAGCTGACGGCGCAGTCCCTGCCAACCCAGCAGACTGCACCCACATCCCTCGACAAGTGGTGGCGTTTCTATCCCTTCCGGGTATGTGTCTCTCATCCGATTGGGCAGTACCCTGCAACAGTTACCTGCGCAGCCCTGGCAAATAACAGCTGCGACAGAGAGCCAGTGGCGATTACGCCTGTTTTGACAAGAACACCTGCATTTAAAGGCCCCAGGGTCGAAGGGGCGAAGGCATCTTGCATCTTATATCTTGAGTTAATCTCGAATTTTCATTGATCTAGCATTACCCGTACTCTTAGCTCTCTTTGCATTCCTTACCGCTTTCTCAGGTGTTCTAGCTTAAGCATCAGAGTATTCCCACCTGGCAAGTCCCCTGGGAATCTTTCACCGTCCTCTTCTCAGGTACCGTCCGTTGCCAACTAGGAGCCAGTCGACTGCCAACTAGGAGTGCCCGGATTGCGCAACATCTTTTTTTGCTAAGTATTGTGTGCTCTTTACTTTTTGCCAAAGCGATTTTATCACTCGAGCTGTTAGAGCTACATGTTCGGAGTAGGATCTTTCGGTAGTTGTTACCCCGAGTTGTTCCTTATCGAGTTCAACTAGTATGCCGAGGTGATCTACGCTTCATAGGGCTCATGCCCGAGCTGCCTATGCCTTTGGTATTAATACTTAGTCATTGCCGATGAAACGGTTAGCTCTTCCGCAGTGCCGAGGTCTTAGTTAGCTCGGCGTCTTAGCCCTTAGGTTGAGGGAGTGACTCGTGGTCTTCTTAGTAGTTCGCTCATGCCATAGAGGCGACTGGGTCTTATCGCACTGGTCTGTGTTAGCTCGGCATTTTGACCCTCAGGTTCTGAGAGTGACTCGTGGTCTACTCAGTGGTTATAGGTAATATTGCCTTAAGTTGACAATATTCCATGCCCGAGGTACTTATTTCCCTTCTAGGGTTTCGAGCTCGTATGTTCCTTCCCCGAGCACTCGCTTTACTCGGTAGGGTCCTTCCCAATTTGGCCCAAGCTTACCAACACCGGGCTCAGGCACCATAACTTCCTGCTACACGGGACCCTCCCTGTAGACCGCAATGCCGCCAGAAGGGTAAAGCGTCAGGCGGCCAAATACGTCATGATAGATGAACGGCTGTACTGAAGATCTTACACGCTCCCCTACTTGCGCTGCTTGCGACCTTCCGAAGGTGACACGTAGACATTATACTCAGGGGGTATTTTAAAAATTAATATTAAATTTAGAGATATTTTAATAATTTACCATGTTCAAAAAATAATATGTAGATCCATACCCATTCCATCTTTGATCTAGTACTAGATCCGTCATCGGGAAAACCCGCTCCGAATCGGGTCGGACCCGGTTTTATAACGTAAATTGCCATCCCTACGGGCTACGGCTACGTAAGCCATTGTTTATAGGGCGGACGGAGTTTTTGGGTGGTTGACTTGTTGGGTTAGATTTTGGTTTTACCGATTTCGTTCGCCACTTCGCGTCTCGCACTCTCACTCGCCGGGCAGCATCTCGACCCCTCAGCTCCCTGCGCCTCTTCTTCCAAGATGGAATTCTTGGACGAAGAAAGTAGGCCAAGGTTTCTTTTCCAATCTCGCGTTTCCTCGTCTTCAACCTCCGCTCCCGAAATCCAAAAATTCAATAAGCCTTTAATTTTCGTCTGCGCTTCGATTTCGTCTCTCCTCTCCGCTCACGCTTTCTTCTTCCTTCAGTCCGAAATCCTTAGATTTATTCTAATCTGGTTTGCGCTGTCTCTTCTCGTTGGCCCGTTTGCCCCGATTGCCATTACCGGCGGCGACGTTCGCGTCGGTAATGGCGAGCTTCTCGAACCGTCACCGGATCCCGATCAGACGCTCGAACTTGACGAGCCAAAGAAAAGATTACCTAGCAATCGTAGACAGAAAGCCAGGAGATCTGAGGATTCGGTCTTGAATTCGCCGTTGCCGGTGGTGGAAACTGTTAGCAATTCAGAAGAAGTGGAGAAGAAGAGTGGAAGTTCTGTCTGTAATGATAATGGATCCGTGATCGAGGAAGAAAAGGAGTGGACCGATGAGGATTACGATTTGCTGAAGAAACAGATGTCAAAGCACCCCGTTGGAGCGCCGAGACGGTGGGAGTTGATTGCTGAGGCTTTTCGAGGGCGGCATGGATTGGACAGTGTGATAAAGACAGCGAAATCGTTGTCCGAGAAGAAACCAGGTGGTGGGGATTCCTTCTCGCAGTTTCTGAAGCAGCGGAAACCTTTGGACAAGCGGATCCAAGCCGTTGATGGAGAAATTCCGAGTGGCTCAACGGATTGTGTCGAGGCTAAGAAAGAGGGCGGGGGTTCAAATTGGAGCTCTGGAGAAGATATTGCTCTCCTCCATGCTCTCAAGGTATTTCCAAAAGATGTTTCAATGAGATGGGAGAAGATCGCAGCTGCGGTTCCGGGTAAATCTAAGGCCTGTTGTATGAAGAGGGTTACCGAGTTAAAAAGAGAATTTCGTAACTCAAAGGTTTCTACAGAGTCGTAGACGAGAGTATTAACAACTGGGGGGTTTCAATTGCTTTCATTTCTTCAGAAACATTGACAAGGTAATTGTTGTATCAATACCTGCGATTAGGTTTTTCCCACAATCAAATGTTTTCTATCTTTTACATTTACAGGAAGGCTTATGTGTCTGAATTTTGGATTTCAACTTCATTGATACTGTTCTATTAATCAGAGAGTGGACATTAACAAGTGTAAACCATACCACCCGGTTCATATCATGTTATGACTTGTAAAGAGAGAACCACTGTGATTGCATTCATAAGTTGATTCAATAAAATTTTCCTGTGCGAATCATTGTTCACTTTTTGATGTGATTGTTTCGTCATAATCTATTAATGGGTTTGATTATGAGGATACATGATATGCCCTAAGGTCAATAATCCTCAATGAACTCTATGCCATTTCCAGTGTCTATTAACTCATAGTTTCCATTAGATATACGAATTCGGTGGCCACCTTGTTGATGGAATCCAACCAAAACCTGGACAAGAAGATAATGTCTTGTGGTTGAATACATGTTGGGCCCATTGATTATTTGATGGGTCCTTGTGTAGTTTTTGGTGTAGATTTTGTTACGATCGTTCAAATTTTGGTAGATTATCATTCATGGATGTTCAGGATTATGATTGAAGCCGTATTGTTTTCAGCATTATCAAATTGTCTTATGTCTGTGAACACACCTCCAAACTCACCACTACTGAAAAATATAAAAAATACTAAAATATAAGAAGAAAGGTCTCCACCTGTCTAAGCAAGTATAAAGGATGCCACATGGGTACTACCAGTAGGCTAACAGAATACAAATAAATCATTTCTGGTTGTTAGTATTATAAACCCAATTAAATATTCTGAAATACAATAAAATCTTCTCCATTTGATATAACAGTCCCCATCCACAAGCAGTTAATTTTGGTCAATTCAGGCAAAAAATATTCTTGTGAAAGACTTTGGGACCTTGGTTAGATCCTTGTTGCAGCCATGGTTCACAAAATATCAGATATATGATTGTGTATTTGTGTTCTCTACAAGAAGGGTCCATTACCCATGGAGGGTCCCAGCTATCCAGGGTATTGGGAGGGATAGACTGGATATGGACATAACCTTTAGCATTTTTTTTGGGTACACAGTGGCAGCTCTCAGAGTTGATTTCATGCTTGTCAGCCAGAGATTGTGTTCTATATAATGTAAAAGGTCTAGACTCTTTAGGCTGCAACAAACTTCTTTATGTTGGTCTACTAGATCATTCATATTTGCCAACGCCAAAGCCTTCCCAAGTAGAATTTCAACAAGAACCATGGAACTTGCTTTAAGATTGGTATCAAACTAAATGATGTCATATGAAATAATCTAATATCTGGTCTTCATTTTGTTAATCAGCCTGTGCACATCCACACTAGATGAAAGAGAAGAAGAAAGAGATTAACAGAAGCCCTCCTGACATTTATCACACTTGGATCTCATTAAATCTTTAAGGAAGGCATATGATCAGTTCTGGGAGAAAGGAAATTTGCTCAAACCTATAACCATACAGCTTATGTAAATCAGAACAACCATATAACACAAAACTATCTGACCATGTATGTACATATTTTTCCCTCTTCAAAACACATGACTATAGTTTAAGAACCAATATTATCTTGCTCCATTAAAATGAAAAACAGAAACAGAATCAGTTATAATAGGTAGCTAAAAGTTCTATACTAATGGGTGTGGAGATCAGCTAATACTTTGGCTGACTGTCTAGCAAACAAAGCAAGGGGCAAACAGGGAACAATTGTATTGGGCTCATCTGTAGTCTGAATTTGTTTTTCTGTTTTCCTCTTGTTCTTTGGAGAGGACACAGCTTGTGCCTCTCCACAGGAAGTTTGTATTCCAATTCTTTTATTAATGAAATCTTAAATTATTTATCAAAAAAAAGTTCTATACTAATAACTATAATTAGTTAGCTAAAAGCTTCAGTTTTTCTGCCACTGGTTTTGATGTCAGATACATCAACCCTCCACAATGTTTTAAAAACCGACCTGGAACCAGAACTGCTTTCACCACCAGTTTCTGGATCAACGGTTCGACCGTCTGGTCTGAATGGATGGCCCATTGCAATTTAAAAAATAAAAAATAAAAAAAAGGCCAAAAACGCTATTTACAGATTGCACAGTGGATGATATGCTGAGGAAGTGGGGAGAAATTGCAAACTGTTCGCAGAGCAAATCAGCAATGAGTTTTGCTGGCAGTAGTAGAGGGAACCCTAGACAGTCGGGGATTTGAGGTGTTTTCAGGGATGAGAATGGGGTCATTTCTACATTATACTCGGGTCCAATTGGAGTGGGAGACTCCCTTCGAGCTGAAATTTATGCAGTTATTGGAAGGGATACAGAAAGCTAAGGAGATGAATATCAGAAAAATCATAATTGAAGGGGATTCGGAGGTGGTAATAGGGTGACTGAATAAAGATAACAGTAGCCCATGGAATTACAGTAATGAGAGGAAAAGGTTTAAGTGGCTGGTGAGGGAGATGGAAGTGAAGATGAGGTGGGTTCAAAGATCGGCT